GAAGAATCGGTTGTACAGTAACGTCTTTTGAGAAGAATATAGATATGCTCTATGGGTCTGTAAGATGGACCACGGATTATTTCATGGACGTTGGTTCTTTAAACTGAATATAAGTCTTTCAACCAATTATTTTAGACGTTTATCACCACCATACGTGTACGTATAAAATACATTTCGGTCAGCGTTACTTCGACGTCCCGAGGACCATAGTGCTATTTCCGGTCATGTTGATGACATCAGTCAAGAAAAACAGTACAGGCTCGAGATAATTGAACAGACAACTCTTGACTCTAAAACAACAATTCGGAGCAATCAGCTTGGTCAATAATTCATCCAGGTCGTCCATTAGTTTAAACAGACATGATTTGTGAAAGATAGCTTTCGTTTCATCTCGAAGGACAAGCTCATAAACAACATGGCGGCGTGGCGGATGAAAGGGTTACACGAGCGGCACGTGCATATAGGACAGTGGTCGTCGAAAAACACATAGTGGACGCCATTAAATGAGCGCACGTGGCAAAGTCGTAAATGTGACTGAGCCGGGGTGGTCAAAAACAAACCAGGCACATCTAGAAGTGATGACCCCGACTATTCAGATTCCCTGTCTTTTTACGAATTCTAATTCTGTTTTTTCAGCTGTCTAATCGGATTTACAATGACTGGACGCCAATTAGGATGGACATCGTTAATTGACAAATGGCCAATTAGGATGGGCATCCACAGAGTTTGAATCGACACTTCTTTGAAAAGGAAAGAACAAAGTGTTTAATATGTGGTTTATTGTATACCTTTAACCAACTTAAACAAAATCAAATATCTTAAACACATGGGAAAGTGATAAGACACGTGTAAGTAAAAGTACCCAAAGTAGGTCTGGTAAAAGTAAGAGCCAGTATAGAAACAACCAATACCTGGGATATATCAACAGTGGCTTTTACAAGTTGTACCTATTGGCGGGGGATCAAACCCATGTCTAGGCGCCACAAGCGAACAAAGTTGTTTTATCCCACCGCCCTACTGTAACTATTCCTTACACGGTGTAGGTCTCTGAGAATCAATAACGATGGTATCTATTTTCCGCCTTTATGGGAAGCAAATATCTTGTTATCACATACAAGTCAAACTTCTTTTGATCGTTATGCCCTCGTTGCCTCATGTTTGGAGGTTAATCCACCGTGCCTTCCCTTTATACATCATACACCATCCCTGAACACCACGCTGCCTTAACCCTTCAGCCAGAAAAGAGGCTTGAATAGTGTACTAAACTCACATAAAACATCTATATATACACTATCTTCTCGAGTGATACAATGTTTCCTCTTAATGGGTACCTACATGCACGCATCATGAAAAATGAAAGCCCTTTTTAGAAATCCATGTCATTGTAGAGATCTACCTGTACCAATTATTCAATGTAGAAACCACAGGTGCTTCTGACGTACGCATTAAGTGATGCGTTTAGGAATAATAGGTCAAAGTTAAGTAACACTTAAGAATACTTGTTCAGGTACGTTCCCACGCTGCGGTGGAAGGTTGCAGTCAAACGTCTGGCGTTCCCCTTCAAGGCTATGCTACTCGCCGGTTACACCCAATAGCGAGTTAAACGAGGTGGAACTCGGGGGCGGAACTGAGACGCATATCTATACACAAGGCCCGCTCTACAACCAGATCGCAGCGCTATGAGTGTCGTAAGTCTATGTTTAAGTAAAGAGTTAAGACCGTCTTAGCGCTAAGATCGCTTTTTTGGTAACGGGCGCTGTGACGTCCTATGATTTTGCATATATAAGGTTACTGAACACTGAGTGAGTGAATATTGTTTACGCCGCAGTCGATAATGTAACAGCTATAGCAAGACGGCCAGGACCAGGTAAGCCAATAGTTGACATAACATGACCAGCGTCCCACCCCAAAAACGTTACAAAGAGTAGTTTCCCTTGTTTTGACCATTTCTATAAATACCATTAGCATCATCGACCTGAATATGTGATGCAAGTTTTCACAAACATCACAATGGTGTGACAAAACTTATTGTAACAGATGGATCTTATGAACACACACAAAGGTGAATTTAATGTAATGTTATGTGTTAGGACTTAATCGCGTGACTTATGCCATTAAATAATGTACAAATACCTACATGCCGATGACAATGTTCCCTGTCCGCAGCAGGTGATATGCTACTCAAAAGAAGTTAAGAACCACCCGATTCTTTCATATTACTGTAGTTAACCTGTTATAGTATGACAGATGACCTATAGTAGGCACACGTTTAAGTGAGTGAGTGAATGAGTTTAACGCCGCTTTGAACAGTATTCCAGTAAAATCACGGCGCGTCATGTGGGAGGAAAGCCGGAAGTGATGCACGTTATTTTGATGAAAACATAGAAACATCAGGGCTAACCGTGATTCGAACCCAGTCATAGGTTTCTGGCGTGCCCAAGGGATGCAACTGTGCACGGTGAAGTGCGGCGCCTGAGACGACTGTGCCACCCGTAATCCCCACGTTTAAGTAAAAGTATCAAAAATAGATCTGGTAAAAGTAAGAACAAGTGATAGAAACATCTAACATCGAACAATGTTATTATTTCCCACCGACCTATACTAACTATGTACCGTCCGCATTGGCGGTCTCCACGAACCAATAACATGGCATAAGGTTATCTATCTTTTCGTGGGAAGCAACTACTTCGTTATAACATACTTGTCAAGTTTCGTATGTTAATTGTGCCCTTGATGCCTCGTATGACGGTAATCCACAGTGCCTTCCCTTCGTACATAACACAATATCCCTGAACACAAAGCTGCCTTAACCCCTCAGCCAGAAGACTTGAACAGTGTACCCACTCGAGAAGTTTGTATGTATGTATGTATGTATGTATGTATGTATGTATGTATGTATGTATGTGTGCGTGCGTACAACATACATACACACTATCTTCCTCTTAAAGGGCACCTACATGCACGCATCATAAAAAATGAAGGCCCTTTACAGAAAAAATGCTGTGAAAAATCAAATGAATACTAGTTTAAAGCTGTATTCCCGAGGTAAACCCATACCGCGTTGTGTCCTCCAGAAGTAGAGAGGAGCAGCACACATCTAGTATCTCCCCCAAGATTTCCGTATTCTCCGTACATGCAGTGCCATTGTGTCATTCTCAAGTATGAGTGTGCCCCTCTATTCCCCCTATACTACGCACCGCGCCTTTGGTTCACAGTGTAGAGAGCATAGAATAGAGCCAGTATCTAGCTATTCCCTATATTGCCTTGTACTACATACAGTGCCTTGGCTCATAGCATAGCTCATAGTATAGTTCATGTATAGTACAGTAAGATATAGTACAGTAGTGTACGACACGACACTTTAGTATAGTACTGTACTGTATAGTATGGTATCGTATAGTATAGTATAGCCTATAGTATTGTATTGCCTATAGTATTGTATTGCATATATATAGTATATAGCCTCCAGGGCTTTAACGGACGTAAACTATGGCGTCCTACATGCAATCTAATTGTGAATGGACGCAAATTATTTAAACAGAGGTTGAAAAATGTATGGCTGCTTGAATATTTAAATTTATCAAATTTATCGATTGTAGATATTATATAACTAACATTTGTTTCGGTTAAGTTATTCTCCAGTTTAGTGAGTGAGTTAGATTTTACGCCGCTTTTAGCAATATTCCAGCAACATCACGGCGGGGGACACCAGAAATTGGCTTCACACATTGTACCCATGTGGGGAATCGAACTCGGGCCTTCAGCGGGACGAGCGAACGCTTCAACCACTAGACTACCCCACGCCCCTTCTCCAGTTCAGGTGTCAATGGGTAGGTTTTATCACTTTAACATCAGTTTCCTTAGCATGATACCATTCTTCGAAATCAAGTGAAGCGTGCCGAATGTTGTCAGCCAAGGACCTCCCTATTCATGTCTTGGACCCCACCAAATCTATAACTGAAAGTCTCCTGGACTCGAAAATAGATGGACATAGGTACATCTCTTAAAGCCAGTATATACGCCCCTCTCATGCCTCTAGACCCGAGAAACACAAATATTATCATAATTGGACCTATTATTAAGTAGTATAGAGCCAGTACAGCCTTCTACTCCTTTCACAGATGACATCGATCAGGCGCTGGAGGGGAGGAACTTGCCAATTAGGAGTGCAAACATTTGGCGGAATTACTGTCTACACCGCCTTCATCACAACAGACGACTCGGGTGCTCTGTGTATTTTCATAGTCATTGAATCAGGTGATAAAATGGCCCAGTACGTTGATAGAGGCCGAGATTAACCATTAGACGAGGCTAAGTTTGGTCAAACACTTCCGCTATACTTGGGATGAACCTATCCAATTAGATCCATCCTCGCTTTTTGATTCGAGCATCCTGTAGTTCATACTCCTGTTGGCGGTTAGCATCCCCGTAATCAGACCTTTACCTCGTCAAAGAGGAGGCACACGTCCCATTCGGCCAAACAGAGGATGCGTTGTTAGGTTACGGTCAAGACGCTGACCAGGTCGACAACTTAGTAAATATTTAAACTGACCATACAAAGAAAGGAAAACTCAGTTACTTCATTGTAAAACAGGGTTCAACACAGAGGCCACTTCGGAAACAAACGGCTTAGGTGGGAAAGGCTGGTTTTGGTCAGTACATAAACAGCTTGTTCAGCTTTGTTGATTTCTATTACGAGCTTTAATCATACACCAATTAATATACGGCGATGATACAAATATCGCCATGCTGATAGTAACCGACCCATTAACCTGAGCACCAAAATTATAACTTAAAAAACTACTAACATTATTTTCTTTATAAATATCTTAGCATATTCGCGTCAATTCAATTTTTATGTCATTAAGCCTGCCTAAAAAGTAATCAATGGTTTCCCATTAACGTTTTATAAGGTGATAAAAGCATTCAATGAGGTAGAAATAAATCCACCAATTAAAACAAGCAATGTGGGGGTGGAGACAATAAGAGGAAAAACTCACCAATTGATTAGGTTATCGATCAGTCCCCAGCCCCGGAGGGGTGCTTCCGGCAGTGTATCCACTGGAAAAGAGACAAGTCACCGTCAGTTTTAAGGAAACAAGACCGTATGTGTCCGATTCACACTTATCAATCTTTGTCCTGCCCAGGAATAAACCTGTCCTCGTTCAGCGCTGCATGGTAATTGCTGTAGTTACCTGGCCGACGACCAAATTTGAGGGGGACACCCTACAGCGAGCTTTCTTTCACATTCCACATCTGTCATAGAGAGTCAATCAAACACAATGAAGAATACATCCAAACTATGTACGCGATCCCACTCGTCAAAACAGTTGAAGAGCTAGACAATGAATGATAACGGGAAATAAGAAAGAAACCCGTTTTGAGCGTCAATCAGAGAAACGGTATATTCCCACGCCACCAGAGCTCTATGAAGAGAATGCTAACAGTACACCGAAATTTCCCTTCAAGTCGGGAGGGGGCGCTGAGCTCGCATCCGAAGCACAAGCAAGCGAGATTGGAGCCAGAGCGGCACAAACACGAGCCGGGGACACAGACGAGTTCTTTAAACATGGGAGCTTTGTCTACAATAGCAGCAACACAAATCAGGGATCGTGTGCACCACTGTGTCCAACAAGCTACTTGTAGGTCCAAGTTTTATTTAACGCAATCAGATACTGGAAATTATCCTCCATAACAAATGCCTTGAGCTCCCCGGAGACAAGATCTGAACGGTATTGGCCGTCTAACAGTTTTCGTCTGCTCTCCTATCTACTGGGCCCGGGGATCATTCGCCGCACGCGACTTGAGCAACAGGATCCCCCAGAAAACTGTTTACCTGATAACAACACGCCACATATACCATCATTTTCTGATATCTGCGTGTCCCATTGGGTGTCGTCTGCCCGACCGCCCACTACAGCTTAGGATCGCCATCATGGCAGTAGTCAGATTAATAATTGATGTCCAGAGAGAGAAGTCAACCTGATGCACAGCTTACGTCAAGACACTTACAGGTGCTGAAGCACCAACAGAAGGCAGGACGCCAGCCACCACATGTGTCGTGAAACAATGCCTTGTAATTCAGATGCGCTAAACATTACGATAACTACACTAATCTTTCAAATATTACAAAGATCTTTCAAATATTATTTCTGTTAAACTCGGTGATGTAACTGAAATAATGTTCATAGCGGCGTAAATTGGTACTGAAAAAATATACATTAGCGTATTTTACTTAGACCTTGTTTGTCACAAGCCTGGTCTGTTGTCATCAGTATCTTAATAGCGTTTTAATGCAAAACGACCCCTACAACCTACTGAAATCGAACAGGTTCGTTTGAGTTTGGGTGATGGGACATGGGGTTTAACGCCGCGTTCAAAATAATTGCTCTTATATTGCGGCGTGCGTGCGTGCGTTTGTGCGTGCGTGCGTGAGAGAGAGACTGAGTGAGTGAGTGAAAGTGTGTGTGCGCGCTTGCTTGTACTAGTCTGGGTTAATGTCGAATTTATATTGCTATCCCACTGATGTACCATGCCGCAGTTTTAATTTGTTTGTATAAGCAATATTCCAGCTGTATGACGGCGGGTCTGTAAATAATCGAGCCTGGACCAGACAATCTAATGATTGACATCATGAGCATCGATCCACGCACTTTGAATACGATGACATGCATCAACCAAGTCAGCGAGTCTGACCTCCCGATCCCCTTTTACGACAAGCATGCAGCAGTTGTAACATGGATACCCCACTCAGACACAGTATACTTATTCATAGCCGACCAGTCCTTGTTTTATCCCCTTAGTACCGAGCGTCAGGCAGGGTAACAAGAAGTACCATCTTTTAACGTCTATTGGTATTACGTGGCCGGCGGTCGAATCTCTGTCCGGGCAGACGCATTACCAGAAGAGAGAAGTGTCAGCCCGGAATCTAATCATCGTTGATCCCTAATGTCCCGTTTTCCGGGCGGTCAGTTCCACAATGTGTGAGCTTTTAACAGTATTCTGGTTATATCGGGAGGAAAGCCCGAAGTGATGCAGGTCTCAGACGTTTACCACTTCGGTTAAACCCACGAGCACGGGTATGGTGCAGACAAACCTATAAACATAATTGGGGCGAACCGGGATTCGAACCCACAATCATAGGTTTCTGGCGTGCCCAAGGGACGCAACTCTGCAGAGCGAATCGCGGCGCCTTAGACGACTGGGCCACCCGTGCCCCCGTCAGTTCCACAGACAACCATCATGCCAATAACAGCGAATCTATCTATACTACTTAAAACAAGTTAAAGAACACATAATTGGAAGGATGTGTGTTGCAAAACCCACCAGCCACGCCAGATTAACTATAGCCATCTAAAAATCAAGACTAACGCTAAGTCTCCTGAAATATATAATTTTGATAAAAACAAACAACTCCATTTTAATTGAAAAGGAGCCCCAGTGAGATGGGAGATTCAGAACCTGATCCCGAGGACAATCTAGACATGCTTCTTTTAGGGCTCTTGCATTACAGAAAGGACTGGGCAGAAGGGAAAATAATATTGGTCACGGACTGAGACAGACTAGAAAACATCGGATGCTCCTTAACTTATTTGGAGTAGTATATATGGTTGAACATGTAATAATGTTGGCATTCATCTATCAAGATTCAGGAACACACATAACGATCACACAGACTGTCTCAAATTCAGACCTCCTTGCTTTCTAAACAAGATGTTGGACTGGGAGGTAAAACAGGTGAACAATTACTTCAGCGTTAAATCTGAGGCAAGGGCAGATAACTGCACGGGACAACACACATAACAGCCATAATATAACGACATTGATAATGTATCGAAGAATCTGCTACCAAAGACACTAACGGTTGACAGCTCTGTGGGTATAAGGGTAAGGGGCGGCATTGGGGTCGTTTTTCGACTAGCTGGTCGCATTGAGAGTCGATGGTGCAGTGAGAAGTTTCTGAATACCGCTGCTTAGGTGATTGTTGTTGCAAAACAAAGTGGGCCATGCAAAACAACGCTCAATGGATTTATCACGCTATTTATTATCCTTCTTGTCACAGTGTTCTTCGTGGGTGTAGGTCCCGGGGCAGATTTATCTTGTATCTTACTCGTATAATACTGTCCCATGGGTACACCTCTGGAGTCTGAACCTTGGTTTTCTAAGCCGTTGAATAGAAACAATCGCTGACAACCATGGTCCGCTGTGAAACTGGCAAGTGAATGAACAGACACGCTCATACTTTGAGTAAAAATTGCTCCCAATCATACGAAAAGTCAACCTCTACGTTGATCTCAGTAGGAAGGAGACATTTGTAAAATATATAACATGATAGATAAGTTGAATAATCACAATAGGACACTTCCAGCACTCATTAAACTAACTATAAGTCCCAGAAATAAAGTTCGTTATCAAATTGAATTGTATCTACAAAATGAAAAATAAATCAAATTCGAAACCCGAACAATGGTTAGTTTAAGAGCTGGGGCAATCGGGACTTGCCAACTCATTCTAGACTTGCCAACTCATTCTAGACTTCAGTTGGACTTCTTTTTTAATTGATGCTTAAGGAGATAAATACTTTTCATATTGACCATGTTGCTTCAATTGCACAAATAAGACGACACGGGTTTTAAAAATCAACCATTCTGTGGACAAACTTACAATATATATATATATATATATATATATATATAGTTCTAATTGACATTACTTCGAATAACGTTTATTAATAATTCGAACAATTTATGAAGTCACCATGTTCTGCGAGCTGCCTAACGGTGTCACACGTGTGGGAGTTCAAATGTAGCGTCAAGTCTGCCATGTTTCTGCTACATTTTGACGAGGTGCCGCGTACAGTGTACACACATAATGCATCAGATCAGTTTGCCCAAAGTCTATGCCCCATACACAATGCCAGTCGCTGTCAATGACGAGCGACACACAAAACTGTAACACTACATAAGGGAGTGGCGAGAATGGGCTTTAAATGCTTGATCACGGACATCAGCAAGAGCACTCGAGTCAAAATCATTACACAAGTTTGTGCAATTTACAAGTTAACGAACACTGTAACATAAAACCACGCTTCATTCCGTGACCTTTACAAGTCACGAAGGGTCATGGCGGCAACGTGAGCCAGCATTCTACATGCGCGTAAGTCACGCTTAGCTCTCGCACGAAATCCTGGATCAACGAGATTTTATTGCCTCGTGATTTCTTAAAGAGGGTTATTAATGATGCATTGTCTAGGGGGAAACTCTTCCAATCGAACGCTAGACCACCGCTGATAGTCCAAGGGAGGATTGACGTTTTTTACAAAAGATTCTTGCTGACGAATCAGCACATGGGATTAGAGGTCAAAGGTCCCACGTCACATGCAAGGATTTGGTACGCGGTGGTACTTGGAAATTAATGATTTAGCAGATAGATTGGACGAATGCAATGGGTAGGGAAACAATTCATTTGAAAATCATTACCAAAGGGAGAATTATCTGGTGATTTAGTTGGCTGTGAACAAAGGGACACGACGGACCTTTGACATACACGTCTCCTTTTTATGAAAATATAACTGATTATTTTTAAATACCTACATGTATGTTAAAATGTTTATAAACGTTCAATATCACTAAACACTATTCCATATACAGCTACCACATGACCGATGTTGAGCTTATTGAATTCAAACGAGCGAGTGAATACGGGATACGGCAACAGTTTTTCAGTTGTGTCATGGCGTTTCAGCTTTATGGGGGAGGAAAGCCCGAAGAGACACGGGCCAACGTGGACCAAGTTGGTGCAACCTACGAGCACCGCACAAGAACCGAGAACCATAACCCACGAGAATATAGAACTCAAAGCCAAGTCCTACAGATTCTCACAATTCATGTATTTTGTAACCATGTTATATTTAATTATTAACGATGTTAAACAATAAATCACCAATATAAACAATACACCACCTACCGCTTGGCTTGCATGTACAAGAAACGCCAGTCCGAGCGTTAAATCAGGAATGTCCCTCGTATTCTTATCACTAGGGGCACATTCCCCTTCCCCAT